AAAGTTAAGAAAGTAATATCACAATAGACCTTTCCCCTTATGAGTGAAATTTTGATCTAGATATGCCTGGACAAAAATTTCATCACAGCTTGAACGAGCATCACAAAATTAGTAATATTCCGAAGTTTCGTTGCGAAATGTTGTAAAATACGGATAATATAGCCTTGCGAAGTTTGCCGTTTTTCAGTCATTTTGCATTACAAATGGGAAATTGGTAATCAGACGATCAAACTGATTATCAATTTCCCCTTTAATAGTTTTGTTTGTGGAAACACCACGTAAATTTATTACTGCAAAGCTTTCGATCCGTAAGCCCGGATCTTCATCAGTGCTAATAATATAAAAAAAAACAAAAAACTTAATTTCCCCTTTGTAATCTAAAATGACTGAAAAACGGAAAACTTCAACATTTCGCAACGAAACTTCGGAATATTACTAATTTTGTGATGCTCTTTCATGCTGTGATGAAATTTTTGTCCAGACTTGTCTAGATCAAAATTTCACTCAAAAGGGGAAAGGTCTATTGGTAAAAAAATAAAATAGTCCAGGCTAAATATGTAATTAGGTAAACGTAATTCTTGATGTAAAGCGCAGTTGATCATACCCGCATGTAAATTTGCGCTATAGAAATCTTAATCGTCGTTACAGACAGCAGACGGTGATCAACTTGAGAAAATGAGAAAACTAAATCTCTCGAAACACCCTTCCGGGAAGTACGTCGGTGTTTGGCTGTAGGACCTCGTTTTCGTGATGTGACATCAGAGATGGATTTACTGGGGGGGGGGGGGTGCGCACCCCGCCAGCCCCGGTCAGAGGGGGTGCAGGAGGGTGCTATTTTTCATGATAAAGCAAAAAATTATTAGAGACAAAATGAGATACAGTAATTTGAGTAATAACATGATGATAAGCGAACTGTGAACAACAATTACAATTCAAATACTGTAGTCAAGCAAGACTCTGCAGTAGTGAAGCAAGTTGATGGGCGGGCGGCACACATGACCGACACAATTCGGCACCAGAGCTGGCAACCCCCCACCTACCAGATCATGCTGGATCCATCCCTGTGTGACATTAGTTCAAGCCCACGTGTGAATCACGAAAATGAGGCTCTATAGCCAAGGCGAGGACTTCCCGGAAGGGTGTATTGTATTTATTGGTCATTGAGAAATTCTTATTATTTCTCACTCTGGAGATCACCACCTGTTGCACGATACTGCTTCATCGTAAAATCCACAGATGTAGGTATTGTTTTTCACAGTGTTTTTTCAATTTGTACAGTTCTTTTTTTTGTGTTCCTAGATTATTACAAAGACAATATACCACGATCACCCATACGAGTCTTAAAAGAAAGTTTCCCTGATATCGATAAAATTAACTTCAGGTATTGTATGTATTCAAGCATGATTTTTTTCCACTTTAATCATAACGAATCGTAGCATTTTCTTTCGTCCACCCTAGTTTTCACGATACATGGAGGATATTACACGGCGGCGCGAAGATATGACTTCTATCTTCTCGTGTTAAAAACAATATTTCACGTGCGCTCGTTCGTAAAATAGTGTTTTCACCATTCGAAGATAAAAGTCATATCTTCGCGCCAACGTGTAATGTTCTGTTTATTATATAGTCCCAAGCCAAAAATTGTGAAATACTAAAAGTCACGTGATCGATATCTTCACTAGTGAAGATATGGAAAATATCTCACTGTGTATTTTTCAGTATCTCACTCTCTACTATATAATAAAAAGAAATATACGTCTAAGCAACCTCGTTCCCAGGCTCTACCCAGACTACCCTGCGAGCAGAGGTTTTATTGGAGAAAGTAACCTCTGCTGATATATTCCATAAAATACAGTTTGATGATCTAACATTCCCATCCTTCACACGTGTAGCTTGGCTCGTCTCACGCTCTCAAGACAGTATAAAAGCAGTGTGGTGATAGCAGGCTATGGTAAGTTTGAAGCAATCGGTCGTACGCCGAAAATTGCGAAGGCAAGCGTTGCTCGAAAGGCATTGCAACACGTAATGAAGGAACGACACAATTGTAAGTTGAAGTAAAACGATATTGCTTTCGACAAAAGCTCATTGAAACTATGGGCGTTTTCCATTAACACGGCCAGATTGGTCAAATTGTTGAATGGAACGCAAAACGTTTAGGCTTCGGACCTTTCTGACCAGAAATGTAGATAAAATTAGAATGAGGTCGAGTTTCGCTAGATATTTGAGAAACATAGACCGGATCTTTCCATTGATACAGAGACAAAAATTCGAGTCTGACCGGTCAGGCCATTAAATGGAAAGCGCCCTATATTGCAACATCCTCCAACATAGTCTATCAAGATATGATGTTCTGGAAACTGAACAATTTTTGTTAATTTATGAACGGCCACGGTGATTGAGCTCATTGTATTTTCGTATAATGAAGTAATCGTCCAATAGGGATAGCTGAGATGAAACGTGCAACCACGATCATTGTATTTAATGAAGTTGAGACAAAGGATTTGTGCATGATGAGGTACAATTCAACATCTAACCAAGCCCAAGGTCTTCTATTGTGTGGCTTTGAAATTTTCCGACCTTCCAGACCATCATATTTTGACAACGTATGGTCCAAATGACTCGTCCAAGATTGTTCGTCCAAAAATGTTAGCCAGTGTTGGATGAAAGTTTCAAACAAAGTCAAACCCAATCCAACATCACGCAACATTACCCAACACAGTGTTGAAACGAGGCCAACAATGTTGCGGCCAGTGTAGGTAGTGCCAATACTGCTCAGTCGGCCATTGAGGGATTCAACTGCCTGAAAAATACAAGAAGTTGGACGTTTCGGGCGAGAACCCTTCGTCGGGCAGGGAGTAGTTCGTTAGAAGGGCCGCTTGAACCGTCGAAGTTCTCTTTGTATTTTTTAAGTAGTTGTACCCGAATACAATATCAATCCGAAGCTTGTTGGAGCAACATACTGGCCTCGTTTCGACGAGGTTTTAGTGAAAGAATCAGATTTAAGTGAAACTTGATCCCACCATCAGCCAACATTACCAAACGTAATCTTCAAACAAAGCCAACATGTTGCATCCGACAATATGATGATGGGACTATACTGTTTCAACGGGCATTTTTAAGTATTCATGCATGCATAGCCATAAGTTACGAAAAAACTTAAATCGGTTTATTAAAAACTTATTAAACCGTTAAACCTAGCAGTTGTTCACAATAACTTGAAAGAAACCGGCATAATTTTAAAGTCAAAGATTTTTTATGTACGCAATTATACGTAATTTTATAGTTTTATATATTGTAAACTTTGTTGTACAGTAAATTGTATATAGGAAATTTTAAATGTAAATTAGTTGTACGTGCCATTCAACCGTATTGGAAATGTCACAAAGGAAGAAATTTTAGGGACTTTGAATCAGAAGAGTTTATTACAATACATTGGACACATTTTCCCAATAGATATATTTTATACCAAATTTGAAATGTATTTATTTAATATTTATAACACACTATTTTAGACTCCAATTAAATAAAGTTGTTTCTTATATTACTTTCTTTTAACTTATAATTACGCTATAATTACGCCATGAAAATACACACAAATGTAATATCAAAAATATATTAAGCCTTTTTATCACCAAAGTAACTGAACAAGTGTCTGAAACTAAACAGCACATCAAATAAATTTATCCTTATGTTAAGCTCACCATTCAAAAATGACATAAAATGCAAACTGTGCAGCAGATGATATGGTAGTCAACCAGAATTTATCTAAGTTATAGAAATGTGTTTCTATGTAGTGACCTCATTTTGTTTGCTCCAGTTCACTGTCCCATCTCTTGAGGCAAGAGGGATCGGAGGCAAGTTTTATCCATTTTAAGTACATGAAATGTAATGTCTCTCTATTTTCATGACCATTTGAATGCTGCAAGGATGCACAGTGTTTCAATATTGCAGAATCATGCAGAGAGACAAGAAGAGACAGTTCAGTAATCAGGCACCGCGGAGCCTGTTTAAAAGTGTGTGTTGGGGGGGGGGTTGCAGGATAGCACAGGAGCTATGCCACGCAGGTAGGCTGGATGGTATCCGGTAATTTTTTTATCCACCGAAAAAGGGGGGCATGGGGTCCCTGGTGATACGTTCAGTTAGAGAACGTTGTTATCATTGATATTTCTGAAGATGACTACCACTGCTGCTATATCGTATATAATGCTTACAGAAACTCACCAGTCATGGTGGGGGAGGGGACAGTTTTTAAGTATAACACACGCAACAAACACGACAGACACATGTTTCTAGGATTAGCACTTTCTGATGACAATACTCCTCTCATCACCATGTGAAAATAACATGAAATGAAAACCATACTTATCACTAATCATATACAGAAACAGTCTTTCCTTGCTTGTTAAATTTCTTGAAATATCTAGCTCTTCATCACTACTTTTTAAGAAAGCCAAGAAAATCTCCCAGACATCATCACCAAGTTTAAAATCATCCAATGTGGAGAGCTGCAGAAGTTCAGTTTTAATACTTGTTTGTATCATTGGTCCAGCAGAGGTATCATGTCCAGTGGAGGAGGTACCATTTCCGGTGGAGGAGGTACCATGTCCATCAGAGGTATCAAATTGTCCAGTGGAGGAGGTACAATGTCCATGAGTGGTACCATTTCCAGTGGAGGTACCATGTCTGGTGGAGGTGGCACTATGTCCAGTGGAGGGATGTCCAGTAGAATTGGGTGCGGTGGTGGATTGGAGTGGGTAGGATGCTTTTTCAAAGTTGTCACTGGATGTTTCAACAGTGTGACTTGCAATGGGCAAATTTTGAGAAACATGTTCAGTGTCCACATTCATATTAGAGACTGTTTCATTTGTAGATTCATGCTCAGCATTTGACATCATTGCAATTTTCTTGATGTTTGTAAGAGATGTGTCAGCATGTGTTGGTTTTGCCGGCATATTACTTGATGATCTCGTAATTTTAATCTTGTTCATTTGTCTCTGCATTTTTGTCTTGATCATTTTTGCTATTCTCTGTCCGGCTGTGGTTGATGGCCAGTTTAACGGCTTTCTTATCACCAGATGCTTAGATGGTCCAATAAATTCATACAACAGACAATTTCTATCACACAACTTCTGCAAAAGTCGATGGTCATCTTCTATTAAAGGTTTTGTAACAACAATCTTGTGTCCATCACCCCTTACAAATTTGTTTATAAGCTTACGAGAAATGGCTCGTTGTGTTTTCTGTTTTTTCTTCTGCTTATGTTGTAGGGTACGGTGTTGATGTGATGTGTCAACAAAATCCATTCCAAGACCCCGTCTTCCACAGATTTTATTTACGACAATGGGTTCTTCAATGCCTTCATTTCCTTTCTTACCCAGCCCTCCGCCTGTCCATCCCATTTTACATAGCATTTGATATCCACGGTTACTCTCAGGTATTTTTGGACAATTCTCTTGCATGCTACCCCCTGTTGCAGCATTCTGTTGGATCCTTCCCCCTGTTGTAGTATTCTGTTGGATGCTCCCCCCTGTTGTACTATTCTGTTGTGTCTTTTGAATGCTCTGCCCCTTTGTTGTAGTATTTTGTTGTGTTTCTTGAATGCTCTGCCCCTCGGTACATTCTGTCTCATCATTCTGTTGACTGCCTGCCCCTGTTGTAATGTTCTGTTGTGTGTGTGCTTGTGCAAGCATATTCTGCCAGACTTTAGTTATTTTTTTCTGGACACTTTTCCCTGTTTGTTCCACATTACCGCCCGATGAACTCTGTTGTGTGTCCCCCCCAATGGGGAGGTGGGGTGCTGGTCTTGGTGCAGGTGGGAGGGGTCTTGATGCAGGTGGGAGGGGTTTTGGTGCAGGTGGGAGGGGTTTTGGTGCAGGTGGGAGAGGTCTTTGTGCAGGTGGGAGGGGTCTTGATGCAGATGGGAAGGGTTTTGGTGCAGATGGGAAGGGTTTTGGTGCAGGTGGGAGGGGTTTTGGTGCAGGTGGGAGAGGTCTTCGTGCAGGTGGGAGGGATCTTGATGCAGATGGGAAGGGTTTTGGTGCAGATGGGAGGGGTTTTGGTGCAGGTGGGAGGGGTTTTGCACACTTTTGATAGTCTTTTGGCAAGAGTTTCAATAATTCTTTTACTACTCTCCCATCAACAACAACTTTTTGAATTAATATCGAGTTAATGATTTGCTCAGCGCAATCATTTCGTGCCTTTTTACCTTTTAATTCGTCATAACCCCGACCAACGCAGACACCATTTATGTGGCCATTACAAACAAGTCCTTTATATTTTGTACTTTCATCGCTTTTTTTACTTTGGAAGAGATCAAAACGAAGTTTTGTCTGTGCACCGTAACAAGCCTGTTGTAGTATCTTTGTGAAATATGGTGAGACGTTATTATCTTTATTCTTTGTTGTCTTCTTTTCATTTCGAGAACTTTGACATGCAGCCATGTTGACATGTCACACATTTGGAATATTTCGCGGGCAATCCCGCCTTCCACAGCCCAAAGGAAACTTCCACACTTACCAAAAAATTCCGAATATTTCAAATTGTTTTTCGCTTCAAATTTCCAAATTTTAGAACAGATGTAATATCCTGGGAACGAGGTTGATGTAATATGTCCTAATATGGTGACATGAATGTATTTAGAGGCGTTTTGAGCATCTTACTTGATAGAAGCAACAGTTTGAAGGGTGTTTTGTGGATGGAAATTTCTAGAGGAAGATTATATGCAATTTTAGACCTGAACCTGGTGCAAAAAAATACACTATACTGACCCTCTAGCAGGACTCAAAACCACGGGCGTTGAAACCTGGGGGGGGGGGGAGGCGGGCCCCCCACTTTTTTAGTTGGGGGCCTAGATGTCTTTTGGCCCCCCACTTTTTAACAATGGTCAATAATAAACCACAAAGTTAATTGATATTATTTCAGTTATGCATGTAGACAAAACAATTTGAGATATTTTATGACATTTTGTTACCTTTAGAACTCTGTAAATCTTCTAAAGTGCAGGAAATGGCATTTCAGAGACTCTAGTTTTAAAATTTACCGGGTCCCGCCTTTGGCGGGCGCTAAGTGTGCTCCCCCATTTTTAGAGCCGCTCCGACTCCCCTACTCGAAACCTGAAGCCCTGTGATTCTTTGTCCCAAATTCTTATAGGAATTTTTCCTATAGGAATTCCTATAGGAAATTTTCGTAAGGGCACCTTACTGATCCCTACACCAGATTAATTTATGCCAAACGATTTACTTGTTAGGGGGAGAGTGCTGCCACTCAATTGGTTAATTTTTTTGTGAAAAACCCTGTGTTTATGTGAAATTTATTTTCTCACAAAATACATATTTTATTAATATACATATAATACACCTTAGTTACTGTTTACTATTGACATAACATGTCAACTATTGTTTACTAATGACAAGGTATCTGCCTTCTCCTGTACCAAATGATTTATGTCGCAACCCATGCTGTTGACATATTTTGTGCACAATTGCACGATCCTCCTTGGATAAGTCGCTGGAAAACCTTAGCTCTTTCCTGTGATTGTCCATGATAAAATTTCGAACAGTGTTCTTTACCGAGACCTTATTAACCCCATCATCTGTGATGTCTTTCCCAAGCCCCTGCCTTCCTTGTGTCTCATCTACTAACACTGGGTCTGCACGCCCTTTCCCTTGCGACCCCAACCCTCCCCCCGTCCAACCCATTTTCCGTAACATTTGATTGCCAAGGTTATTTTCAGAGATTCTTGGGGCGTCTACTTTTTTCCCTGATGCTAAGTGGTCCTTTTCTATAACTTGTGCTTTTTGATGTAACAGTAGTTCGTCGACAACTGGCTGACATGCTCGAAGTATCTTTACCGCTTGTTCCGCACATGTACGTTTGGCATCTTTCTTGGTAGATGCTTGTCCTGTGGCTACTAAAATATAGTTAATGACAACAGCACAACTGAAAAAGCCATCTTTTAGTCCTAACTCTTGAAATTCTATAGTCATTTTAGCTCTTTGTGCATTGCCATGTAGCAAACATATAGGGTTTTCCGGTCCTGCAGAGTCTCGGACATAAAGAGTAAGGCCTTTAATGAGTGGCTTTTTATTCCCTTCGTCTTGTTTTCGTTTTATTTCAGCGGGAATATCCATAGCTCTAGTACAACCGGCTTCGAGCTGTTGAACTCTTTCCTCTGTAGGTCCTGGGTATCTACAGCCGAGAAATTTCATATTTGCCCAAACCATAGATAAAGCATCCAGCTGTTCAATAGGAATTGTTCCTCTGTTTGCTTCTATAAATTCTTTTCTTGCTTCCCACTGAATTTCATTCTCCCAAACACTTTTTCTCACCCCATCACCGGCGGCCATTTTGGAATTTTTACCTTCTTCTTCGAATACAGTTGATCCGACAACCTAATGATATTAAAATACGCGTAAAAAGTATCCAAGACCACGAATTTTATTTTTGTTTTTTTTAACTTTTCTGGAAATGTTTTGAATAATGTTTTGATATTAAATGTTTTTTGAGATGTTTAAATGTAAAATACACTTAATATATATAAAATAAAGTACATAAAATATGAACACAAAATGTTTTAGTATTGTACAAGCAAACATTTTCCGGTATATTTTGTCGACGTTTGGGTGCCTAAATTGGTTTGGGATGTCCATGATTTTGCAAACATTTTTTTGTTAGTAATAGTATCATGTTGATAAGAAATAGCATTTCTTGGTTTGCTTTTGGAAAAAGAGTTGTCATCTGTTTTAAACAACGTCTAAGCAGGCATTATGGACATTATGTTGGCTGTCAAACCCAGTTTGGTGTTTTTATGCAGCAAAATCATGGACCCAAAAACTTTCCATTGCTATTGGATAAAACAAGGTTAATAAATCACGGATATGGTATTATTAAGCAGTTTAGTTTATTAAGTTCAACAGAACTTATTCAAACACTTTCTGCTCGTAATGTCGTTCAATTTTGGAGAAAAACTGGTTCCAAACGACAACACAATTGTTTGCAGTTGCAGAGTTTCTCGACAAGTGAAAAAGAAAAAGTAACAAGTACAAGTCATGCAGAGTTGCCAAACGAGCATTGGGTGCCATATTTGGTTAGTCGGATCCATAGTCTTGAAGAATCTTCACGTTTCCATGGTTACTCAACATTACGGTGGGGCCTGTCTATAATTGTTGCTGCACTGGCTGGTGTGTATTTTTTCCGAGACCAACTGAGGGACAATGTTGCAGATGAAGTTGCAGATGTTGCGTCTCGATCAATGGGTAAGAGTGTGATTGGGTCATTCCAGAAAACATCCATACCTCCCCCACAGAGGAAATTGGAAACAAATTTTTCTCCCCTCCGCCTCCTGACAGCAGAGATTTCTTCCTTGGGGCAGGGTGGATCTATTATGGAACGACCCATTGGTGCATCTAAATAATTAGCATTGAAATAAGTAGTTTAATTTTGCTTGCTTTTGTAAGTGTCAATAGTCTCATCCACTCACCATGTTGTGTTTCTTTTCCAGGTGATGAGAATGTGATATTAAAGGCTCACGACATGACGAAAGGGGTTCTGAAAAGGCTCACGAGTGAGGCAGACACATCTGCTTTAGCCAGTGAATTTCTTAAGACAGTGTTGCAGCAAAATGATGTTCGAAACACAGCAGTATCATTTGCAACAAGCATCTTCGACCATCCTGAAACTCAAGAAAAACTTCAAGAAGTTGTGAAAAACACCTTGCATTCCATATTAAACAACAAAGAAACTAAAGATTTACTACTGGAGTTTATTAAGAATTTAATCGAAGACCCACAAACCAAGGAAACATGCAACTTATTCCTCCAATCTTTGACAAAAGATCCAGACATTCAAAAGATGGTCTCAGAGTTTTTCAAAAGTGTACTAGCATCGCCGACTTTCCAAATTGAAGCAATTACGCTGGGACGAGAGGTCACAAACAAGGTGGTTCACGACAAAGACATTCAGAAACAAACTGGTGATGCACTTTGGAGTGCTGTCAAGTATGGAGTCACACCTCACTGGTTTCGTGGGGAAATATAATGACCATGTTTTTACCAACATATTTTGTTACCAGAATCGTATGTTGGCTTTTACTAATTATGCAAAGTTTAGGGAAGAGAGAGATTTATTGTGTAATTATTTAAAATATTTAAATGTTTTTCTAAAATATAGAAAAGAGATTGTAAGATTATTTATATTAAAAGTGTGAAAAGTTTTAGTGACTTTCCATACAGTATCCAAAATTATGTTGTTAGGCTGTGAGGGTTAGGGTAGGCTCTGAGGGTTAGGATTGGAATTTGGATTATTTTTCCCCACCTGGAATTTGTGGCCAGATACGGGAACTATGTCTGTGACACCGGGACAAAGTCCCTGAGCAATATCGGAACTAAATTATACCGGGACAAATTCCCTACAATATACGAGATAGATTCCCACACGTTTGATAATGAGATGTAAATTTTCTTTGGAGCTAAACATCGTCTTTGTTCGCAATTTGTATTGATCTTTTCACATTTGAACAGCCGTGTGCTTTAAAATGGACAAGGATGGCAGGCAGACGGGTATTTATGCCGCTGAAAAAATATTAAAGAAACGCAGGCGAGAGGTAGAGACACATGTTTTGTTGATGATTTGAAATATTGTTCAATTCACTGTAAATGATTTACCGTTTGCTATTCTTGAAATACATTCATGCTGTTATCTCTTGTAGAACAAAGTTGAGTTTTTAATAAAGTGGAAAGGCTGGTCTGCTAAGTAAGGATTTGATTAGCTAAAAGTTTACAGCAAAATATTCGAGTGTTGAGACATTTCTAATGATGTTTTCTACCAATAGACATAATACGTGGGAGCCGAAAGAAAACGTCCTTGATCCCCGATTATTGCTTGCCTTTGAAGAAGCGTAAGTACCTTAATTTACAATGGAGGCGACCAACTGTCGATATTTTGAAAATATACAATAGTATTAAATATCAGTGTGTGTTTTAGAAATACTTGCAACAAATGTCGCTGGAAATATATATACAACCAATTTTTCTGTAAAGTAAACAGTCCATTATAACTGATGGAATTGTAAAAAATTTAAATGAAATCTTGTACATGAAATATAATATCATTTATATGAATAACAAAGACGTGACTGTGATCAGGCTATTGTGACCTATTTGTGAGTAAAAACACATCTTAGAATGTATTTTTTTGTCAATTTGAGACACATTTAGTCATGTAGTCTGGCTTTGACAATATTTCAATAGTCGTACAAATACCTGCTTTCCAATGCATGGTTATGAAAATACTTTAAAGACACAGTTCAGCTGTTGAATGATGGTTTGTAAGGTGTAATTAAGCATAATTCAAAATCAGTGAACTCAATCAATGTTTTTAACATTAAAAATGTAAAAGCATTGAGATGACTGCTCTTGAATTATGCTTAATTGATTTTCCTAGTTAGTTTTTTCAATTAAAAGGACTGTAATGCGCCTTAAAATCCATCATTCAAAAGGCTGAACTGTTTGAAATTGGTGATGTAATATTAAAATGTCAGTCTTGAGAGTACATGTTATTGTAAAATTTGGATTGCAAAACAAAATATCAGTACAAGTAAATATGTTTTCCTCTTTATTATGTAATCATTGGCTGGAATCTGTGCATAGTGTTTAAATATATTTTGATCTCATTTTTATCAAGGCATGAAAGAAAACGAAAACGTGGCTTTGCGAAAAAACCTCGAAGATCTGAGGTAAATCTGAGCAACATATTTTTCCCATGTTTTGATCATATTGAAGCCAATATTGAATATGGCTTGCAGGAAGTAGTCCGTTACAGGTGATAGACTTCTAAGTGTTTTGCAAAAATGCATTGACTGACAGATTCCCTGTCAGGCAAACTAGTGGATATTAATATTCTGTGCCTTTATAAGCAATGTGCATTTTTATACAACAAAGCCACCTTGAGAAAATCTTTATTGACCTACAGGTGCTTCTCACCTAACAGCATTGCTGCCATGTTGGATGAATGGGGGATTTCAGCTACAGGTGAAATTTTGATCTAGACAAGAAGAATGGAATCCATTACCTTGAGTAAACTGCAAAGTTTGGTTGTGAATTGTTGTAAATTGAGGGAAATATAGCCCTGTGAAGTTTGCAAATTTTGTATGTATTATTGCATGGGAAAAATAACTCTTTTTGAGCCAAAAGTGGTTATTTTTACTGTGCGTAATACAAATAGATACAAAATGCAGGGCTCTATTCTCTTCATTTTAAAACATTTAGCAACCAATCTTTGAAGTTTTACTCATTCTAAGACGCTCTTTCTAGCTGTGGTGTTGGATTTCGTTCTTGCCGTGATCAAAATTTAGTTTACAGCTGGAATCACCCATTTGACATAGTATTTTGAGTGTTATGTTAGGGGCTGGTTATATGAAAGCCAGATAATGTAGTTTAATAGCATTTCAAGCATTTTTACAATGGTTGAAAAAGCCACTATATCCATTGGATAGTGATATCCAGCCTTTCAAGCTTTCTGAAATCATTGATTGGTAAAACCCAGATTTATCATTTTAAAAGTCTCTTTAATAATTTATTTAAATTGTGAAGTCCATATTGGTAGGTGTATAGATTTTCAAACACAGAATTGTACCTGGTATAGAAGGGGAAATGAAATAGAAATTAATTTACTGTACTTTGTTTCTGGCTTAGGAACCAGGAGAAGTTGATGATGAAATAATGGAAGTTGAACAAGAAGAAGTTAACTCGTTAACCAGTGGTGAAACTGATAATGGTGGCGAAGAAATCTCAACAACTGATGTAGCTGGCCCAAGCAATGTCGCTGCTGAGTCGAGCCATGTTGCTGCTGGGTTGAGCAATGTCACTGCTGGGTCGAGCCATGTAGCTGCTGGATCAAGCCATGTCGCTGGGTCGAGCCATGTTGCTGCTGGGTCGAGCCATGTCGCTGCTGGGTCAAGCCATGTCGCTGTGTCAAGCCATATTACTGCTGTCCCAAGTCTTGTTGCTGATGGGCCAAGTCATGTTGTTGCCAAGCCAGGTGATGTTACTGGTGGCCACAATGATCAAAGTGATGTTACTGCTGATGCTAGTGGTGTTGCTGCTGAGGCAAGTCATGCATTTGAAAGTGGTGAAAATACGAAGCAGAGGGAAGAAGATAGCAGCAAACAACAACAAGAGACTGTGGATGCATCCAGTGTAGCTGAAGTTCCATCAAATCCTGAAACAACAGACAATGCAGAAACACCAAGTGAACCAAGTTTGGAAAGTGTAAAACGTCCAAGTTTGGAAGCTATACCAGAACGGAGTTGTATCAGTTTAAAAGAACCTATCGAAGAAGCAGTCTCAGAAGAATTGCCCAAGGATATATTTGATAACTCAAGTGAAAACGAGTCTGTTGTTTCTGGCCCACCACAAACATCACATATTGAGGAAAAGCCTGATGAAGCCCCAGTCAATCCAATCCCTGTGCCCATCTCTCTACCCAAGCCACATGTGGAACAGAGTGCACCCCCTGTCATAGCACCCCCTACCCTTTTCACACCTCATGTGGAGCAGCAACCCACTGCCCCTATACCCACCTTGGATGTAGAACCTACAGCACCCCCTGAACCCACTCAGCATGTTGAACACAAACCACCCCCGGCAAACATCTCACATGTGGAACATAGACCACCCCATGTACCTAGCATTTCTGAGAATAAGTTGACAAGAGTCAGCAAGGATGGTGACAGTGTCGATAAGAGGTTGGCTGAAGTGAGCGACTGCCCAAACCTGAGTCTCGTGGACAAGGTTGTAATTACGGATGTCACCACTGCTAAAGGCACAGTAACTGTCAAAGAATGCACAACAGATGAAGGATTTTTTGCAAATAATGTTTCCCCTGAAGAATCACAAACTGCTAATGGATCATCTTTAACATAGATTGTTGAGATAACTAAATGCAAATGTTATAGAATATTTATGAACAAAAAATTTGAACAATTGACTAGCATAATGTTAGCATAGGAAATGTAGTGTAGAAATTTTTATGTACAAATATAAAATTCAAATTGTGGGGTGTGTTAATTCGTGTAAATGGTTTTTTGTCCTAAACCTAACTTATGGTACACACGTAAAAACGCACAAGTTGTTACAGGTCTGCAAACAAGTTGTTACGAACTTGTTCACAAGCTGTTGACAAGTTGTGTTCGCACTGCTTGTTCCCAGTTGTTGGAACAAGTTTGGAACAAGCTGTTAACAACTTGTACCAAGCTTGATGACACTAGGGCCATTTATACGAGCGAAATTGGAAAATAAGTCGCGGCCTAAAATTAAATAAGCCGCGGCTTAAGTAAGTCGCGAACAACTCGTATAAACAGTCAATTTGCAATAAGCCGTGGCTTATTTAGGCCTAGCTTTCAACTATGGGCTTATTTTAGCCGTGGCTTATTGCAAATTGACTGTTTATACGAATCGTTCGTTCGCGGCTTATTTGGGCCGCGGCTTATTTTCGCTCGTATAAATGGCCCTAATATCAGATTCAGGGCCGCCCAGAGGGTGGGGGGGGTAAAGGGGGGCAAATTGCCCTGGGCCCCGAGTTGCTGGGGGGCCCTGAAAATTTTTTGTAGGGCCCCAGCCTTTTTTGTGTGTTAAATATTTCCGCGCAAAGGACAAGATATCTGTTTTCTTGGGCTCAGTACCGAATTTTGGCATAAAAAAATGAGATAAAGTCCCTCGAAAGCATTTGCAACGTACTCGTCCGGCAAAATTTTGTACCCCTAAAATGGTACACTGACCGAAAATTTTTTGGCGGGGTGGGGGGGGGGAGGTTGTTATCCGGAAAACCGGGAAAATTTTTTTAGATAGGGGCCCCTAAAAAAAATTTGCCCCCGCCAACCTCTGGGCGGCCCTGATCAGACTTGTCACAAGGTTGTTCTAACAAGTCTGATACATTCCTGATATATAACAAAAATGTTACAAGGTTGACCACACAAGGTTGTAACAATATTGTTATATCATAACTGTATCGGAGGTGTTGGAACAACCTTGCAACAAATCTGATAATATCAACAAGGTTGTTACAGCTTGGTCCAAACTTGTTGACAACTTGGAACAAGCAGTTCGAACACAACTTGTTGACGGCTTGTTGGCAGACTTGCTACAAGATTTTTGCGTGTGTATGTGATCACAAAGATTATTACTGTAATTGTGTGCGTGTTTTTTGTGCCTATACTGACTGAACGCAAAACAAACTGGCAAGAATGAACAATTCTTTAATTCATAATTTTTTTCACTCCTTTCGGAAACCATTTTATTTCAGACTCGGCTGGGAATCGGAATTTGGCGGAATTTTGCTCACTGGTTATTGCACTAAATTTGATTGGTCGAATCGTAAAAACAAAACACTAAACTTGATTGGTTGCACCCAAACGAGGCATGAGCAATAAAAATTATAAATTCAGTCTAAAGGAAAAGTCAATAATATTTGATACAATATTTTCTTCTATTCTAACAGTCGCATAATTTGTGACTGTTAAATTTTTAATAAATCAAAATGACTTGTAGATCTTTTCAACACACGAGGCTACGCTTTATATTGAGTGTGTGGCTATGCAAATACAAGCGAGCGTTGGTGGTGTAAAGGCTAGCATTGCTGCCTTCCAAGCAGTAGATCCGGGTTCGATTCCCGGCCAACGCACATTTTCCTTTACCATTTTTTTCTCCACGCGAAACTTACAGCACAAAATAATTTTGCAAGAATGATGTTCCTTTGGCACTATAAAGAACATAATTTTTTTCTGAGGGCAGAGCAACGTTATCTAAGGCAGATATTTATGTAAAATACCATGAGAGAACTCGAACCAGGGCCAAGAAAAAAAATATTGCGATTCAAAAAGACCAGTTTGAATAAAATATGAAGAACAATGAATGTTTGTTTTCACACGTGACAATAATATTGCGTAATTTGAACTAGTCTCCAGGACCCCAGGATTCTCCACTTTTTCCATTGAAATTTTTTAAAAATTTATATTTTTATTTTATGATACTATATTTTCGTTTTAAATTTTGCATGGCTTTGGATATTGAGCAATATTGTCTTACCAAGGTACTCTTTCAATAATTTGTTAATTTTATCAGTTTGCCAACTTGATTTTATGAACATTAGTTTATTTTATTTTGTTCGTAGACATTTCCAAAGATATATTATATCCCAAATTTTATAACCGAGGAAGAAGAAAGACTGCTTTATGAACAGGTTTCAATGTAAAATTAATTAATTAATG